TAAGGGGCGCATTACCGCTGTTTTACATATAGAAGGGAGTGTCGACTTGACTCTTGCTGTTGTTCTGACTCCCATGGGTGGTGTGGTATGGGTGGTGACGCCTCAGGAACAGAGATGAATCAGAGCCCATAGTCACCTTTCCCGCAGTGACCTCTAACGTGGTGAAAACCCAATTACAGTCCTTGCTTCGCGGAGGTGGGAGGCCGGCGTGGGTGGGGTCGGGCTTCGTGCTGGGCCCGACCGGCTCCTTGCGCCTGCCACCACCGCGACATCAGCCTCTCTTCTACATGAACTAAAACGAACTGGCGTACCAACGATATTTAAACGTACGCGGCTACTGGGGTGCGAGTTCGGCGCGCGCGGGGGCTCGCGAAGCATGGCACATAGATGGTTAACACCAAAAGATAATGTCTATATTCCGCCCTCTGCATTATTCAAGGTTTTCTTATAAGTAATAGATTTGCATATCCGAGTGAGCACACTTTTATTTAGACCCGATCTCGTAGTTCTGCAATAATATTATGGCCAAAATTGGTATGTCGAGGAAATAACCTTGTGCGGCCTCCCTGCCTGCTCATCTAGGCTGAACCCTAATCGCGACACCTGGAGCTCTGGTTACCCTAGAGAAGTTATGACCAGCCTCAATTCACATACACTATTCGGAGGCTTTGGTCCTAGTTTTTGGTGAGAGATGAGGTGCATGACCATTTAGTGGGGCACCTTCGAAAAGAATAGATAACTCTACGCACTATCAGATTCTGTTAACAACACAGTGGTGTAGAGGTATAGTATATATTATTCTAAGCCTAAAAAATAATTGAGTAGATAGACATGTATTTGGGGCAGTTGCCAGCCCACGTAACACATTGTGGTTTCATGTTGGGGCTATGTAGCTTTGCTTGCTAGTCTCTCTAATAGACTTTCTACACCCACACATTATCGAGTATGTTTTCTGAACATTACACTGTGGAATTCACAAATCAAGGTTAACGGTATTACATGTAAACGAGATAACTTGAATTTTACATAAAAAGTATGAGCACTTGCTATAGACAAGAGGTTGTGGATGCCTTACCCATCAATTATGTTACGTAGAGACGCTCGAAGTAAGAGCAACATTGTCTGATTAAATAAGATTAATCTTTTTAATTGGGCCATGTACCTATACTCAATTCCGATTATTTTTCGCTCCTTCGCGAGGGTGACTCAAATGTCTCTGTAGTAGCAAGCACGAGTAGATGTTTCTTGTCATCACGAGATGTACTGCCAGATTATAATCTACATAAAGCACAAGAGCAGAAGAAGTGGAATTTGACTATAATTAATCAAATAGGGAAAGGATGTCTGTGTGTTATGATGGTTTCATGTCAAGTTCTAAATACTTTTAGCGCGGTAATATCTTTAAGCAGGGGAAAGTAACGGTCGGGCGGAGATGAGTGCACAAGGTTATTATAACTTGCTCGGCACCCACTCTCACTTCTGCAAATTCAGGATTTTTCACTGAGTATTACAGTATAAGTCGTAAGGAATCGATAGTGTATATTCTAAAAGAAAACGAATGCAAACTGATAACAATTTATTGACGATTTTGTGAAGAATATTATTACCGAGGCTCAATATAAATTCCTGTATTTAGTCAGTTCTGGAAATAACACTCTATGGGTTCAAAGAGATAGCGGGCAGCCAAAAACAGCGTGTTACGATGTTTTTCTTAAAAAAAGATTAGTACCATAACCTGGAATAGCTAGCAGTCTTTAATTGCACAACGCTGGACTAAAAACAAAAATTCTATTATAACAAAACACTTGGGACTCACAAAAACGCTCATCAACTGAACTTCATATACAATTATTGCAAGTATCTGGTGGATTTGTAAAAATGGTGGCCATGGACCATTGACTTAAGGAAATACAATATATACAAATCAACGAATTATCTTGGTGATTGTATACACTAGATACATATTTTATTAAATATATATATCCGTTCAATATTGTCACGTCTCCTTTTTGTAGTGTACCACCATGGCGTCCTCACGGGGCAGGTAATACAGAGGTATACAGGATGCTATTTATTATATTTGAGATCTTAGTTAGTTGAGACAGTTCAGTTATGCCAGAATACACTCTGTATCAGAGAGAAGTTGTAAGTCGAGTTCTTCAGTCCAGGTTTCCTCTAAATTTATATATTCCTAGGCATTGCGACTCTCTGCCAGTTAACTTTGTAAGTGCGTCTCAAATCTCCTCTAATGTGTTCCTAAATGAGAAAAAGTATATAGCCAGCTGACCTTTCTGTATTCTGTTCATTCCAACTGAAAGAAAAGAAAAAAAAGAGAGTAAGATGGGGTTATAAATAGTATAAGGGTTATGTGGGGTGATGTATTCACAATTAAGTTTTGGGCATTGGTATATACGTTATAAAAATAGAATTTTGCCTGTTAACTATGATTTTATGCGAAAATTATGCAATGAGATTAGACCTAATCGTTTTTGCCGAGCGTTTTTTAAAGTTTTTCAATCAAGTGTGCCAGTTGTACACGAAAGTTTTTCTCAGCAAATATGAGTCACCAATTAATTATGATATGAGTTATTCATTATGGGCAGAGCATATTGAGACAGGAGTCAAATATTGAAACAGATGCAGATGGTCATGGGAGACAATGGCTTACTCGATGAAAAATTCAAGAAGGGGCACAGTAGATTATTTTATTGAGAATGGACGGAAGAGGGTCCAATTTCTGAATTTGAGGTGGAAGTGAAAGTAATAAAAACTGCAACTACATCCCTTCACAGCTCAGTCATCTTTTCATAACTTAAGATTCATACGTTTAAGTGTATTAACTCTTGGGAAGTGTGATTACGTCAGAGAGAAGTTGGTGAATTGTGGGGTTCACATTAAGCAATCTTCCTTCTCAATAAAGATTGTGATGTATGATATTAATACATTTCTCAGACACACATTAGTAGTCGATGAATGTTGTGCATAGACGTTAATATGGTAATCTGTTTGTGAAGTATTGTCGAGGAGCTCGTCCTGAATATGATATGTGTGAAATAGTGGAAGATAATTACGTGTAGTATATTTAGTTCCCAATATTAGTAGAAAGGTTGTACCACTCCGTCCTCAGGTCGCACATAGACACTACAAGTAGAATAGACTCATGGCAAATTGTTATCGTTGATAACTAGAGAAATTAACACTAATTCTAGTTCATGAAAGTGGTTTCGATTTGCATTTGACGAGGGTCTCCTCATCGTGATGAAAGTGATATTGAGTAAAGGGACTGATCGTGTCGTAGTATGCACAGGAAATATGTGACAAAGAGCGGTGGGATTAAAGGGTAGGCATATAACAAAGCACTTTCGCAGGGATTTTTATTGGGGAATAACAAAACCGTTAACGCATGTATAATGGCTCGACGACTTCTGGTGTTCGTGCCATCCCACCCCGACCTAATGCCGTTCTGCCGTCAAGGTTCGCTATGTATTATTTGGCTTACACTGGTTGTGGGTTACACCTCTGGTTTGGTTAACGCTTTTTAGTCAGGTGTCCGAACGTTGGATTCATTGACAGGAGCAGACTTTCTGTCCGTAAAGTCGAGTTTGTTTTGTGCACATACATTCGGGACTACAAATCCATGTTATAAGAAAGGTAATGTTACTTCATACTTGTGTAAATTATTAATTGAGATTTCTTTAAACAAAAATCTGTTAAACGAAAAAATTCAGGTAATTAAAAAAAGACTCAATGTAACGTATTTTTGAAAAGAACATCAAGTAATTTTGGCATAATTTGTCTACTTGAAGGGCTAATGACGTATATACAGGATCCCACAACTACGTGTCACGAAGAAAAAATTATTGGCAGAGACAGGAATGAATCAAAGTTGGAATGTATATTAGTGCACATTAATTAGATGTTATTTTTAAATATAATTTTTCTTTAAAATCCATAAATCGATTCCATTGTTTAACTCTTTTTAACAATTATATTACATCGAGGACGTGATATAGTGACTAAGTAGAGCAGGCGTCATATTAGTTCTTGATGAAAGTTTATGTCCTTTTTCCAAGTTTTGGTCATTTAAAGTTAATAACAACTTAATGTTCTCCCAAAATATACGAGAACTTTCAATTCCACAGTTTTTCGGACGCTTCTTTCACACCATTAGCTTTTCTTTTACTTCCAAACTCTCGATTTGTGCTAATCATTGAACTTACGCTTTAGGTTGAATACTATCAATATCTTCTTTGCAGATCTCCCATGGGGGGCGTAAGAAAAGCAGTCTTTTATGTAAAATACATTTAATTTGTTATTTGGAAGCTGAAATCTAATGATAATACAATTTATAGATGAACGCGCTGAATAGATATTTGAACATTAAATCCTCCTTCTTTTTATGTTATAAGACCTCTGCGTCCAGCGCAGTCATATTTGGTGCAATCAGCCGAATTACGCCATCTTGTTATTTGACGTAAGAAGCCAAACAAACAGGTTAGCACATTTTTCAGAGATAAGTAAAAACAATGCAGTAACACAAAATGCCCACTTTGTTTGAGGAGATGCGGGTAGATATTTATTGTAGGGCATGATTACCATGCACTCGTCAACCGAACAGTTTCGCACCCAAGACAAGCCTCTGTTTTCATAATCAAGTTCAGAGTAGATAGGATTGTGAGGTGGAATCAAAATAAGCTTCAGGTTATATAGCTCGAAATAGTTTAAAAGTCGCGTACAAAGGCGAAGTCTGTGTCGAGTTTAAGTTCATAAGGCTATACGTTAATCAGGCA